TCTCCAAACAACTTGACCATTGTTTTCAACTCCTTGGGCTTCTGCGTTGAGAAACGGATAGGTTGACAAAAGGAAAGCAGTTTTTGACATTCAGCTTCATTCACAATCTCAATAATCTTCGCAGAGCGTTTTTTAAATGTAGTTCTCTGTTAATGTAATCATTGCTCCATATGATTTATTTGAATTTAATGTTGCTCTATTTTCCCACCAGCTTCTTTAACTTTCATGAAGGAATACAGCTTCTGTCTTAATTGGATCAGTTCTAGAATGTTAGTTCCTAACAAAGTTCACACCTTCCAAGACTGAAGACTGATGGGAAAAGGTAATATCCAAGTCCAAGGAAAACGGATTGTTCAAATACCTTCAGATGTTTCAAACTTGCCTTCTCATTGTGGTGGAGTGTCTGAAGACGCTACTTCGTAAACTGCTGAATCTGTCTTTAGTAGTGTACGGGGAAAACATCTTTTCTATACCCAAACAGATGTTTTGAGCAGCTGTTAATGTGACGTTAGGATGTCGAAAATGCTAATTTTCGTCATTTTGCTAATCATTTCTCACCTTTTAAATAGTTTTAACTAAAGGACGACGAATGGAGTTGTGCAAATGAAGCTATCTAAATAGCTTGGTGAAAGATCCAAAGAAGCTCGAAAAATAAGAGGGGAAGCAAAACGTTAAGAAGAAGTTAGGGATGCCTATGAGTGTAACTCCTACTCTTATATGGAGTATTCTATATCCATCAGGTAGCGCAGCACCGTCTAAAAAAGGGTCAGAAGTATTATTCTGTTTTGTAATAATGAAGGATAGGTATGTACTTTGTTCAACGCAGTATGTTCTGGAGCAGTCTTAATTAAACGACTAGATCGGTTTTAGTTTAAAAGGAAAGTTATCTACAATGCCGTGTTCTGCATTTCTGCAGAAAGTTATTATATAATTAAGCAAGTTGTCCTGATAGCACAGTACCAGAACAATTGAGATATAAATCTGGATATGCTTACAATAGAGCGCTTAAGCAAGCAACATGATTATCATTGGTAAGAAATTGATGATA